GCTACAATCATGTTTTTTTACTTTGGCATGAACTGTTCAGTACAGTAGTGTTCAGTACAGTAGTGTTCAGTACAGTAGTGTTCATAACAATGTGCCCTGTGTGGTTTAACTTGTACTTTGATGTAGAGAAACATGATTTTTTAATGCAGCTCCATTTGCAATAATGACTGATATCCTTCTACTACAGTTGTTCTAATGATTTTTGAATGCTGTGTTTATCGTTTATTGCCCAGAGTCAGAACTAAACATGATATAGCTGCATTTCAGATTCACAAGGCTAAAATCTGGAACGGTCTTCTTAAAATCCAGGTTTAAAACACTTCTGTTTCTGCTTCAACTGAGAGATTTTATGAGAGATTTTATTTGTATCTTTTTAATTTACTGTCAATATTTATAATTGTAATGCCTTGTTTGATTGTTTCTATCTTTTGTTCAGTGCTTTGAGTTTCCTTTTGTTTTGACTGTGCTATACAAACAAACTTGCCTTGCCTATTGCAAAAAGTATGTCTCGACCAGTGAGTGATTCTGCAGAGGTTAAGTAGGTCAATAGGACTGTAAATGGACATCATATAAACGTCAATATTTTGGTCATATAAGACGTCGAGAGGACGTCGGACCCGACCGGTTCTGTACCACATTGCAACCTTGAATGAACGTGGCCTCGACGTCATTTGAACGTCCAGATGACGTTGAAATGACATCGTTTTGACATCTGCTTCGTTAGTGGGAACAACGGAAAACAAACGTCATATGAACGTAAATATTTTGGTCATATAAGACGTTGATAGGACGTCGGACCCGACCGGTTCTGTACCACATTCAAACATTGAATTGACGTGCCATCAACGTAACATTTGGAGGTTGAGGTGACGTCGGGAAACGACGTCAAGAAAACTTTCATTCTGCACCCACCAGTGACCTATATTCTACGTCGGACAACGACGTTGAAATGACGTTGATTCAACGTCGGCTTGCTTAGTGGGGTAGTTTGAAATGCGAATAATTACAATTAATAAATGTTTAAGCTGTAATTAAGTTGAATAAAATTTTGAAACGTTTGACGGCACTAGTGTATAAGTATGTGTGTGTATATGTATGTATGTATGTATGTTAGAAAGACACTAGGAACAAAGCTAAGAAATGTAGTCACAGGGGGCACATAAGTATTCTTCTGGCCACTCCTTTTTGAGCCAAACTTTTCTTTTTTTCCCCCATATACAGTGCCTTGCGAAAGTATTCGGCCCCCTTGAACCTTTCAACATTTTGCCACATTTCAGTCTTCAAACATAAAGATATAAAATTTTAATTTTTTGTCATGAATCAACAACAAGTGGGACACAATCGTGAAGTGGAACGAAATTTATTGGATAATTTAAACTAAAAAAAAAAAAAAAAAAAAACTGAAAAGTGGGGCGTGCTATATTATTCGGCCCCTTTACTTTCAGTGCAGCAAACTCACTCCAGAAGTTCAGTGAGGATCTTTGAATGATCCAATGTTGTCCTAAATGACTGATGATGATAAATAGGCTTTAAACTTCTCCACAACAGTATCTCGGACCTGCCTGGTGTGTTCCTTTGTCTTCATGGTTCTCTCTGTGCTTTAAACAGAACCCTGAGACTATCAAAGAGCAGGTGCATTTATACGGAGACTTGATTACACACAGGTGCATTCTATTTATCATCATCAGTCATTTAGGACAACAGTGGATCATTCAAAGATCCTCACTGAACTTCTGGACTGAGTTTTCTGCACTGAAAGTAAAGGGGCCAAATAATATTGCACGCCCCACTTTTCAGTTTTTTATTTGTTAAAAAAGTTTAAATTATCCGACAAATGTCATTCCACTTCACGATTGTGTCCCACTTGTTGTTGATTCATGACAAAAAATAAAAATTTTATATCTTTATGTTTGAAGCCTGAAATGTGGCGAAATGTTGAAAGGTTCAAGGGGGCCGAATACTTTCGCAAGGCACTGTATATCTCATACGGATCCTTCTTGCACTTTACTTGTTTTGTTTTGTTCTTCATTTGTTGCCCATGTAAGTGGGTACAGTGTATGGCACAAGATGTTGTAATTTTGTTTGGCTCAGGATCAGTGAGGGGCTGGTGCTATGAGCATTGGGTGACAGCTCTCCTTGCCACCCCCCCGACCCAGAAATGGACTAATAAAGGGGTTGAAAATGAATGAATGAATGAACGAATAATAGTTATATCATATTAACAATTTTGTGAAGATAAGAATTCAGTTATTGTTGCCAAATCCTCTGTCTATTGGTTCAATGCCACAGAGAGACCTCATTCATCTGAAGTTTTTAAATTATTTCGTGAGTTTAATTCTACACAATGCATTTAACTTCTGCTTTCCACTCTACCTCCCTATCCATCCTCACCCAGTGTGGTTTCTAAGATACTATTTTTATTTGAACTACTAAAAAAAACCCCATTTTATGATGTCTTCTTTTGAACGCAATCTCCAACTAGACAAGGCAAGGCAAGGCAAGTTTATTTGTATAGCACAATTCATACACAAGGCAACTCAAAGTGCTGAACAAGATAGCATTAAAATCATAAATAATCACAGAACATTAAAAAGAAAGATAAAAATATAAAAATATAAAATCCCTCAGTTGTATGCACAGCATACCCATGCAGACCCACCCATGCTCACTCTCACTGCTTCTGGATTAAAATTTATTAATTAAAATTCTCACTATTGGTCTAACATTGATTGTAATGCAAAGAGGGACCAATGAATATATGAATTTGCTATGTTTATATATAGGGTATTGCTATAGCTGAAATTACTGAAATCCGCTTGACTTGGTGATTGGCACGTCACTGCATGTTATAGAAGGCAGAACGCAAAAATAGCCTGGAGAGTTCAGTGAGAAGCAAGGGGAAGGTTTCAATAAACTAAGGTGGCGTTTACACAAAGACGCTGTGACAGTTAAACGGTAGAGTTGGGAATCGGTTAGGCCTTCCGCTTACATGAAGATGGTGCTTCAGGTGGTTGAAAAGCTTTTTCAAGAGTTGAAAACAAAAGAACTCAGGGAATCCATTCAAAGCAATTTAATTCACTGAAATATGGCAAAAAAAAGACTAACCTTTTTGAATGTATAAGATTTTAATTACAACCCCATTATTAAAAAAAATACAACTTTAAGTATAAATATTTTAAATCCACACATTATACATAATGTTAATACCAAAAGAATTAGCCCCCTGAAACAAGAAAACAGAACATATTAAGGTATAACACTTCGAAGCATCGAAGAGTTATGAGTGAGCCATTATGAGCCATTATGAGTGACGGCATGTAAGATCTGGCAGAAAATAGAGGGTAGAAGAAGAGAGGGAACAGTCTAAAAACTACAAGAAAAAATAGGAACTATGATACTCACCACATTTGGTAGGAGTCCAATTTTAACTTGAGGCGTGTCAGCAAGGCTAAATATATATAAGGGAGGAACAGAGGGACAGCAGCCACTGTCGGCCACTCGAGGGACAGCTGGTAAGTTTTTCTCTCTACCTGTTTGGATAAGGGCGTTCGTTGTTAATTTGGACATTTTGTACCAAGACATATTTTTTCTACATTTTTACAGAATTTAGGGACTTTACATCATCTCGGCACAGTCAAGTGTCAAGTAAGATCATTTAATTGTCTGTAAGTATGAACTAGATTATCCTGGAACCAAAGAGCATTGAGTGTGATTGACTCTAACTAATTGCTTATCAGAAAAAAAATGGCATGTGAAATATTAAGAAAACAGACTAAATCAGTCGCAATTTGTGATCTCAACTTACTATCAAATTGTTTTGATCGATACATAATTTCCAAAACAATGATCATGTCGCTGTGATGACCATATTATTTAAATGAGTATTTTTTGGAGTTGAGAATCCAGGATGCAGATTAGCCTCAAGTTAGACGATTTGTGTTGCCCGTTTAAAAGGTGAAATTCAGTGTGTTTGGATTAAGCTTGGAGAAGCAGCATTGTGCAACTGAAGAAACTGGCAATGTACAATTTAGTTGTAATTGTAGTGAGCAGTCGTCCACTATAGAAGCAGGCGAATATGCTATAATACCTAGATTAAAAGATAATAAAAAACAACCTGAACAATTCATTTAAACATATAATGAATCCAAAAGGCAATAGGAATGCCCCATAATCTGCAAATCAATTTACAGCAGTAATCCATATTTCAATTCTATTTCAGTAGAAACATAATTCTGTCATTTCAACTCAAATTTTATAGTAAGTAAGTAATGTTTATTTATATACCGCCTTTCACAGACAAGGGTCACAAAGCGGTTTACAATTGTTACTATTATTTTGGGCATTTGTCCTCTCACTCCACACAGAGATGGGAGCGGGGTCACCAGTACAGGAGGCGCATGCACAGTCCTATTGTACATATTTTTATTGGTAGGGGAAACCGGAGTACCCAGAGGAAACCTACGCAGACACAGGGAGAACATGCAAACTCCCCTCAGAAAGGCCCTGGTCCGACGAAGATTCGAACCCAGGACCTTCTTGTTGAGAGGCGAGAGTGCTATCCACTCAGCCACCGTGCCGCCCGGTTAACTAATTATAGAATTGTGAATTTGTTCAAAATGCCTCTATAATTAATATATAAATACCCAAAAATAACCCTCAATGCAAAGATCAACTATAAATCCCCCTGCAGAAAATAACTTTGCATGTTTAAAAAAAAAATCTTTTTGTTCTAACAAACATTTTCCCATAATTATCCATGAAGGCATTAGCTTACAACATGCTAGTGCATTGTTTGAAGCCCTTGAAAAAAAAAACAGGTTTTTAAAGCTGACCCACTCAAATTTGGACAAAGACAGCTGGACCAAACTCTAGTAACTTTTAAAATCAGCAAGGGGACAAATAAGGGCATCATGTTTCTTTAAAGTTTTTCATGGGCATATAAGATGTACTTTTTTTGTATTTTCATTTTTAATTTGTTAAAGCAGTAAACAACCGCCACCATGAGTACGGACGCGGAGATGCAGATTTACGGCAAGGCGGCCATCTACCTCCGTAAACCAGAGAAGGAGAGGATTGAGGCTCAAAGTGCTCCCTTTGATGCCAAGAGTGCCTGCTACGTGGCTGATGTCAAGGAGCTGTACCTCAAGGCTAAAATCATCAAGAAGGAAGGTGGCAAAGTCACAGTCAATGTCTTGGGCACTGAGGAGGTCAGTTAAAACCATGTAAAAGACTCAACAGCACGCTAATACATGCTCTGCTTACACACCCCATGTTCTGTCATAGGAGAGAACAGTTAAAGAAGAGGACGTCTCTCCCATGAATCCTCCCAAGTACGACAAAATTGAGGACATGGCCATGATGACCCACCTCAATGAAGCCTCTGTGCTTTATAACCTCAAAGAGCGTTATGCAGCATGGATGATCTACGTAAGACATTTATTTCACATATGTGAACACTGTATTAAGAACAGTCAAATTCATGTTTATGTGATTATATCTTCAGACCTACTCTGGGCTGTTCTGTGCGACTGTCAACCCCTACAAGTGGCTGCCAGTGTACGACATGGAAGTCGTCAATGCCTACAGAGGCAAGAAGCGTATGGAGGCTCCACCCCACATCTTCTCCGTCTCTGACAACGCTTTTCAGTTCATGCTTTGTGGTGAGTAAAATTTATATTAAAAACATTATACACAATGATAGATAATGACATACCGCACTTTATATTTTCATAGACAGGGAGAACCAGTCTGTTTTGATCACGTAAGTCATCAATTATTCTTGAATAGTTCCATAGATTTGTCAGTGACTTTAAAAGTCTATTTTCATCCACAGCGGAGAATCTGGTGCTGGAAAGACTGTGAACACCAAGCGTGTCATTCAGTACTTTGCCACAATCTCTGTTGGTGGTGGTGAGAAAAAACCGTCTTCAAAGATGCAGGTTGTTTTATTGTTTAGTTATTGTTGAATAGAAAACATTCTACACGTCAAAGATACAAATAGGACCGTCATTTCCTCTGCAGGGTTCCCTGGAGGATCAGATTATTGCAGCCAACCCACTTCTGGAGGCTTATGGTAATGCCAAGACTGTGAGAAACGACAACTCCTCTCGTTTTGTAAGTCTTGTATTATTTCTGTATTTCTGTTGATATAAAAATGTATATGGATATATAAGATACAATGACTTTCATCCACTTAGGGTAAATTCATCAGAATTCATTTCGGCACAACTGGTAAACTGGCTAGTGCTGATATTGAAACTTGTAAGTTGGATTTTTCAGTTGAAGTTGTGCACAAAAACAATATGTATTTTGAACAATGTTTCTTTCATTCACAGATCTGCTGGAGAAGTCTAGAGTAACATACCAGCTTGAACTGGAGAGAGGCTACCACATCTTCTTCCAGATGATGACCAACCACAAGCCTGAGATCATTGGTATGCAGAAAATGAAACAAGCAAATCTCGTATTCTCTTGTTGAGCTCAGAGTCATATGGTCTACTTTTCAGAAATGTGTCTCATTACATCCAACCCATACGACTTCCCCATGTGCAGCATGGGTCAAATTACTGTTGCTAGCATTGATGACAAAGAGGAGCTGGAAGCAACTGATGTAAGTCACTCAGGAATCATAAGAATACGTAATTAACATAGTTATAAGTGGAGAAATATTTATGGAAACATATTTTAAACCAGAATGCCATTGACATCCTGGGCTTCACCGCTGAGGACAAGGTGAGCATCTACAAAACAACAGGTGCTGTCCTCCACCACGGAAACATGAAGTTCAAGCAAAAGCAGCGTGAGGAGCAGGCTGAACCTGATGGCACTGAGGGTAAGAGACATGTCCCTAACCTAATCCTCATTGTATTGTGAATAACTAATTTATTGAACAGTTTCCAAATGCTGCAAATTACTAGATGTTCTGAACTCAGTGATGAGACTCCCAAAAGAACAAAATGCAGATATCAGATTGTCACATTTTATATCCAAAGTATTGTGACTAATATAAAACAATGCATACAATGTTTATTACATTTCATGTCTTACATTTTGTTGCTGTGTATGTCCGTCAGAGGTGTCAAACTCATTTTGGTTGGGGTACAAATTAAACAATGTAAGAGCTGGTTGGGGCCAAAAGAAAAATATCATACATTTTTATTTTATAAAATGCAAATCAATGTGGATATACGTTTCTAGTGGATTGGACTGAACCGCAATTTTGCTAGTCTCTTATTGATAAAAAAAATCAATAATATATGTGATAGAAGATAGACATTTAACGGTAAACAATATCTCATAACTACCTAAAGATAAGGTAAGATAGACTTTATTTATCTCACACAGGAGGAATCTAGTAAAATATCTAATTACAAATATCAGTCACAACTTTAAAACAGACTCAATTATATGAATGTTTTTCTATGATATTAGGCTTTAAAAATAAGTATAAAATGCCATTTTATCCCATAACCATCAACGCCACAAGTTAGTGTAATAATGATAATTGAAAATTATTTCAGGGGCCACTGAAAGTTTAATGTAGTCTGATGTACATCTTCCTGTATGTCATCTGTTTTACAGATGCTGACAAGGTTGCTTACCTGCTGGGTCTGAACTCTGCGGACATGCTTAAGGCGTTGTGCTACCCCAGAGTCAAGGTCGGAAATGAGTATGTCACCAAGGGACAGACAGTGCCACAGGTAAAGTTATTATATCAGGGGTAATCACTATAACCCTGCCGTATCAAAGCTTGCTAACACTAAGTTCTTTTAGGTGATGAATTCTGTACCTGCCCTGGCCAAGTCCATCTATGAAAGGATGTTCTTGTGGATGGTCATCCGCATCAACCAGATGCTGGACACCAAGCAACAGAGAAACTTTTTCATTGGTGTCTTGGACATTGCCGGCTTTGAAATCTTTGATGTAATCTTTATTAATTTTTGTTTTAACAAAATGTAACTCAAGCCTGGATATTCATTTGTAATATTTTCTTTTGACAGTTCAACACCTTGGAGCAGCTGTGCATTAACTTCACCAATGAGAAACTGCAACAGTTCTTTAACCACACCATGTTCGTCCTGGAGCAAGAGGAGTACAAGAAGGAGGGTATTGTCTGGGAGTTCATTGATTTCGGCATGGACTTGGCTGCCTGCATTGAGCTGATTGAAAAGGTAAGCCCTGGGATTTCAATGAACCATAGAAAAGTCATTTAATTTCTAAATGTGTCTTGTTTATCAACCAGCCCATGGGCATCTTTGCCATCCTTGAAGAGGAGTGCATGTTCCCCAAAGCCTCAGATACAACCTTTAAGAACAAGCTGTATGATCAACATCTTGGCAAGAACAAGGCGTTTGAGAAGCCTAAACCATCCAAGGGCAAGGCTGAGGCCCACTTCTCCCTGGTGCACTATGCTGGAACTGTGGACTACAACATTACTGGCTGGCTGGACAAGAACAAGGACCCCCTGAACGAGTCTGTTATCCAGCTGTACCAGAAATCTTCAGTCAAACTTATGCCTATTCTGTATCCCCCTGTTGTTGAAGGTGAAGGCACACTTTTTATCCTTTTAGCTTGTCATAATAAAGATAAATAATGATATACTAAATGGTACTTCTATCTACCAGAGCCCAAAGGAGGCAAGGGAGGCAAGAAGAAGGGTGGTTCCATGCAGACTGTGTCCTCACAGTTCAGGGTATGAATTCACTTATAATATATTACATTGATGTTTCTTTCTTCCAATTCATTTTTTGGTAAAATTATATTATAGTAATTATATTAACTGTTACAGGAGAATTTGGGCAAGCTGATGACTAATTTGAGGAGCACTCATCCTCACTTTGTGCGTTGCCTGATTCCCAATGAGTCTAAGACTCCAGGTATATATGATTGTTGTTATTGTTTTCTTATCATTCTCAATATAAGTAAAAAAAAAAAAAAAATGTGTTATCACAGGTTTGATGGAGAACTTCCTGGTCATCCACCAGCTTAGGTGCAATGGTGTACTGGAGGGTATCAGAATCTGCAGAAAGGGTTTCCCCAGCAGAATTATGTATGCTGACTTCAAGCAGAGGTATGAGGGAACTTTGTGCAAGCAGCAATTCAAATAATAATAACAATCATTATGCGATGATTCTATTACTTCTCTCTATATATAATTTGACTTTGTTTCTTTCCTAAAAAAGATACAAGGTACTTAATGCCGGTGTTATCCCTGACGGTCAGTTCATTGACAACAAGAAGGCTTCTGAGAAGCTGCTGGGATCCATTGATGTCAACCATGATGAATATAAATTTGGACACACTAAGGTGAGTAAATGTTGTACATGATTGGGGTTTCCATGTTGCATTGTACTACATTGTTTTCGCAAATGTTATAGGTGTTCTTCAAAGCTGGTCTGTTGGGTGTTCTTGAAGAGATGAGAGATGAAAAACTTGCAAGTCTCGTCACAATGACACAGGCTCTGTGCCGTGGATACCTCATGAGAAGGGAATATGTGAAGATGACTGCAAGAAGGCATGCTCACTATACTAATACAATACTTATTACAGTACTATCAATTTTAACTGACAATATTGAAATGTTTAAACACAAACATACATAAATTTCCTTTTTTTCACCAGGGATGCTGTCTATACCATTCAGTACAATGTTCGCTCATTCATGAATGTCAAGCACTGGCCATGGATGAAGGTGTACTATAAGATCAAGCCCCTCCTGAAGAGTGCTGAGACTGAGAAGGAACTTGCCCAGATGAAGGAGAATTATGAAAAGATGACCACTGACTTGGCTGCGGCTTTGGCCAAAAAGAAGGAGCTTGAGGAGAAGATGGTTTCCCTTCTGCAGGAAAAGAATGATCTGCAGCTTCAAGTGTCCTCTGTGAGTAATTAAAACAATCAATATACTGAAAAAGATGCATATAACACCAGCAGAAATATTGTGACTAAGAAAACGAAATCATTGAGGTGGTTATGGGGTGAGGGTTGTTGTGCAAACTGACGCTTTGTGGAAGGCTGCAAAGTGCTGTTTAAATGCAAACAAAGAAGGTTGTTTGCAGTTGAGCACGGGACAGGAGTGTATCTGTGTCCCGGATCAGGTTAGGCGCAGATGAGTTGTAGCAAGATGAATAATAAGTTGAATTTTAATGAGTAGTACAATAACCATCATAGATATTCCAGTCAATTCCAGTTCATCTGAAATTGTGCTCCTTTTGCTTTCTCTTTTAGGAAGGAGAGAATCTAGCAGATGCTGAGGAGAGGTGCGAGGGTCTTATCAAAAGTAAGATTCAGCTGGAGGCCAAACTGAAGGAAACAACTGAGAGACTGGAGGATGAAGAAGAGATCAATGCTGAGCTCACTGCCAAGAAAAGGAAGTTGGAAGATGAATGTTCAGAGCTCAAGAAAGATATTGATGATCTGGAACTTACCTTGGCCAAAGTGGAGAAAGAGAAGCATGCCACTGAAAACAAGGTTTGAACAATCCACGTCCAATTACCACGTTTCCTATACATTTCTCCAATATCCATAATCATTTGTCTTGTTAATCATGAGTTTTGAAAAACTAACAGGTGAAGAACCTGACAGAGGAGATGGCTTCTCAAGATGAGAGCATTGCTAAGCTCACTAAAGAAAAGAAGGCGCTCCAAGAGGCTCACCAGCAGACACTGGATGACCTGCAGGCAGAGGAAGACAAAGTCAACACTCTTACCAAGGCTAAGACTAAGCTTGAGCAACAAGTTGATGATGTACGTATATAAATCAAGACATATCCATTGTTTATTTTGGGGAAGAGAAAAAAAATAAAATAATAATAACTTCTTAAATTACTCTTCTCCAGCTTGAAGGTTCATTGGAGCAGGAGAAGAAGCTCCGTATGGACCTGGAGAGAGCCAAGAGGAAGCTGGAGGGTGACCTGAAACTTGCTCAGGAATCCATAATGGATCTTGAGAATGACAAGCAGCAGTCTGAGGAGAAAATTAAAAAGTGAAGTTATATTGAATATATTGTTTTACTCTGGCTAAAAACAACATGAAATTGGGTTATAAACGTACAACCTTTTGTCCCCCAGGAAAGACTTTGAGACCAGTCAGCTTCTCAGCAAGATTGAGGATGAGCAGTCTCTGGGAGCACAGCTTCAGAAAAAGATTAAGGAGCTTCAGGTAACATGTCTATAAAGTTAAAGAGACTTAATACTTGAAGTTTTAATTGAAATTTCAATTTTACTCTGACAACAGGCCCGTATTGAGGAGCTTGAGGAAGAGATTGAGGCTGAGCGGGCTGCACGTGCCAAGGTTGAGAAGCAGAGAGCAGATCTGTCCAGGGAACTTGAAGAGATCAGTGAGAGGCTGGAAGAGGCCGGCGGTGCCACTGCTGCTCAGATTGAGATGAACAAGAAGCGCGAGGCTGAGTTCCAGAAGCTCCGTCGTGACCTTGAGGAGTCCACTCTGCAGCATGAAGCCACTGCTGCTGCTCTGCGCAAGAAGCAGGCGGACAGTGTTGCTGAGCTGGGAGAGCAGATTGATAACCTCCAGCGAGTCAAGCAGAAGCTTGAGAAGGAAAAGAGTGAATACAAGATGGAAATTGATGACCTCTCCAGCAACATGGAGGCTGTGGCTAAAGCTAAGGTAATGGGATATTGTTGCTATGTTAATGTTTATGTGAACAGTTATGATAAAAAATATCTTATTAACATTCAAACAAATGTTTAGGGAAATCTTGAAAAGATGTGCCGTACCCTTGAGGACCAACTTAGCGAGCTGAAGACCAAGAATGATGAAAATGTTCGCCAGATCAATGACCTTGGAGGACAAAAAGCCCGTCTCCTCACAGAGAATGGTAAGATAAATAACAGGAAAATAACTAATTGGACAATTATTTGTCTTCTAACCAATCTTTTACATCAAAGGTGAGTTTGGCCGCCAAATTGAAGAGAAGGAAGCCCTTGTCTCTCAGTTGACAAGAGGCAAACAAGCTTTCACACAGCAGATTGAGGAGATCAAAAGGCAAATTGAGGAAGAGGTCAAGGTATGTAATGAAACAGCTAATTTAATAAAAAAAACAATGTTATAATGACACACTCATAGCCTGTCTTATTCCGTAGGCCAAGAATGCCCTTGCTCATGGACTTCAGTCTGCTCGTCACGATTGCGATCTGCTCAGGGAACAGTTTGAAGAGGAGCAGGAGGCCAAGGCTGAACTTCAGCGTGGAATGTCTAAGGCCAACAGTGAGGTAGCTCAGTGGAGATCGAAGTATGAAACCGATGCTATCCAGCGCACTGAGGAGCTTGAGGAAGCCAAGTGAGTTTTGAATACTGCGGCACAAACTAAACCATTGAAATTCATCGGTTTAACTTATGATGTCTATTCTTATAAAGAAAAAAGCTTGCCCAACGGCTCCAAGAGGCCGAGGAGCAGATTGAGGCTGTCAACTCCAAGTGTGCTTCTCTGGAGAAAACCAAACAGAGGTTGCAGAGTGAGGTTGAGGATCTCATGATTGATGTGGAGAGAGCTAATGGTCTCGCTGCCAACCTTGACAAGAAGCAGAGGAACTTTGACAAGGTAAATAATTTAATATAGAATTGTCAAGGTGCTGTATGTCTGTGATGTTTTGTTATTTACCATCCACTCTTATGATATTGTATCACATTAGGTCCTGGCTGAATGGAAGCAGAAGTTTGAGGAGGGTCAGGCAGAGCTTGAGGGAGCTCAAAAGGAGGCCCGCTCAATGGGAACTGAGCTTTTCAAGATGAAGAACTCCTATGAAGAAGCTCTTGACCAGCTGGAGACCATGAAACGTGAAAACAAGAACTTGCAGCGTGAGTTTATTAAGGAGATGCTTTATTTACATCCGAAGCTGATGTTGTATGACTAAACATATGATTATTCAATAGAGGAGATCTCTGACTTGACTGAGCAGATTGGTGAGACTGGCAAGAGCATCCATGAATTGGAGAAGTCCAAGAAGCAGGTTGAGACAGAAAAGTCTGAAATCCAGACTGCCCTTGAGGAGGCTGAGGTAAGACATCATATAGTTTAAAAAAGTGTAATGTATCAGGTAGGTATGTACAAAATAATTACTATTTTTGTACAATTTATCAGGGAACTCTTGAACATGAAGAGTCCAAGATCCTTCGTGTCCAGCTGGAGCTTAATCAAGTGAAGGGTGAGGTTGACAGGAAGCTGGCAGAAAAAGATGAGGAAATGGAACAGATCAAGAGGAACAGCCAGAGGGTCATTGACTCCATGCAAGGCACTCTGGACTCTGAGGTCAGAAGCAGAAATGATGCCCTCAGAATCAAGAAGAAGATGGAGGGAGACTTGAATGAGATGGAGATTCAGCTTAGCCATGCCAATCGTCAGGCTGCAGAGTCCCAGAAACAGCTGAGAAATGTGCAGACACAGCTCAAGGTATCAAGACTCTAGTTTCAGGATTCCTTATTCTTTAAAGCACCCACATTAACTCACACTCTTCTTCAACTAGGATGCCCAACTGCACCTTGATGATGCAGTGAGAGCTCAGGAGGACTTCAAAGAACAAGCTGCTATGGTGGAGCGCAGAAATGGCCTGATGTTGGCGGAAATTGAGGAACTCAGGGCTGCTCTGGAACAGACAGAAAGAGGACGCAAAGTCGCTGAACAGGAGCTGGTCGATGCCAGCGAACGTGTTGGACTTCTGCATTCTCAGGTGAAATATAAGATCATTATATATCCTGTCAATCTTGCCTTACTGGAGCTTCATGTTAAGTCTTATTTTACAGAACACAAGTCTGCTGAACAGCAAGAAAAAGCTTGAAACTGATCTGGTTCAGGTCCAGAGTGAAGTTGATGACACTATTCAGGAAGCAAGAAACGCTGAGGAGAAGGCCAAGAAGGCCATCACTGATGTAAGACTTCCTATGGCATACCTTTTGGTTTTGACCAAATTAGATATACAATTATTAAAACTAAACATGGTTTCCAGGCTGCCATGATGGCCGAGGAGCTGAAGAAGGAGCAGGACACCAGTGCTCATCTTGAGAGGATGAAGAAGAATCTTGAAGTTGCTGTTAAGGACCTGCAGCACCGTCTGGATGAGGCTGAGAATCTGGCCATGAAGGGCGGCAAGAAGCAGCTCCAGAAACTGGAGTCTAGGGTAAGATTTGCACTATGAACACCAAAAGAAAATTAGAACAATTGCACTCTCAAACTCTCAAACTGAATGAATGTTTTTTTAAAAGGTGCGTGAGCTGGAGACAGAGGTGGAAAATGAACAGAGACGTGGAGCAGATGCCGTTAAGGGTGTTCGCAAATACGAGAGGAGAGTCAAGGAGCTCACCTACCAGGTATTTGAGCCACATACAAAAGCAAGTATATATTTACTCAAGTCAAATGATAACTATCACCTCCCTGTTGTGTTCAAGACTGAAGAGGACAAGAAGAATGTCACCAGGCTCCAGGATCTGGTTGATAAGCTGCAGCTCAAGGTGAAGGCCTACAAGAGGCAGGCTGAGGAAGCGGTAAGTGCACATTACTGTTCACTTTCATCACATAAACCGAAATGCAGAAGAGATTCAACATATTACAATCACGTGCTACAGGAGGAGCAGGCCAACCAGCATCTGTCCAAGTGCAGAAAGATTCAGCATGAGCTGGAGGAGGCTGAGGAGCGTGCCGATATTGCAGAGTCCCAGGTTAACAAGCTGAGAGTCAAGAGCCGTGACGCAGGCAAGGTAAAGGATATTTTTGATTTTTGATATAATTATAATATATTATGCTGTTCTTTCTCATATTCTTAAATTATGTATTTATTTTTGTTGTTTTATTTTACAGGGCAAAGACTCTGCTGAATAACTTACTAACATGTGTTGAAACAATAAATATTTCCTGTTCATAATTTGTCCAAGTAGTTCTTCTTGAACCTTAATAATAGTGCATAATATCATCCTCAGAAAAACGTAATCATTTTAACCTCAGCTCAGAAGGAAAAGTGATCACTGTTGTCTGTGAGCAACATAACAAAAAAGGTTTCTGAGGATTGGAACGAATGATCCAGAAGACAACCGATTCAATTGTAGAGATGATCTCAATCGTCTGGATGCAGGATTCTTTTTAGGAATGTACTTGCTTCTCAAAGTGAAGGTCTGAGATGTTCAATTAGTTCAGCAACTATATTTTGTATTTTTTTTTCTTTTTACAAAATACAGCCTCAAGCTAGTTAGGCTGAACTCATTCTGACTGAAGCTGCACAAGGAGGTTGCTCGAGTCTTAAAAAGTGGGTACCCCTTTTCGGCCAATCATCTATTTAACGTTTAAATTGTTTTGAACGTATATTTAATGTTGAAAACATTAATCAGTTGAAAGTGTTTGGTCAACTGTCAAAAGACCTAAATTTGTAAAAGGCACACATCCGAGTTGTTTCTTAAATCGAAGAAACACCTCAGCCCAAACCTTCTGCGGTTAACCAGGACAACTATTATGGGTGGATTTGTGTCATATTATTTGACACAATTCCAATGGACATATGTGGATCAACACTTGAGCTTGTGGGGCCACATAAAGCTTTTAAAAAAAAATTATATATATATATAAAATCAGACAAAGCAGGTTGGATAACACAAATACTGAGATGTATGTCAAATTAAGTTGGCTTACAATTCACTCTATAGTACACCATTTAACGTGTACACCAAAAGACAAAAACATTAAACATGATACAAAAATAAGCAGTAATACACAGCTTGAAAATGGGTTTTGACAAAGCAGACACTTATTTGGTTCCAACCCCTTTTCTAATAATGTATCCAATAAAAATTGTCATTCTGAAAGTAGCTTTGAACAGTGATAATGGGTGGTAATTAAACACACATTGTTGCTTGTGACTGTGATGAGTACATTAAAGGGATTTCTCCAGCCTCAGGGTATTGCATCATGAAAAAGGAAGTGTCCGTTTTCTGGGATGTGCCCATTTCCTGTGCAGTGGCTAAGGAATTTACTAGTACTGTATTTGTGTGATTCTTGTTTGAGCTGACCAGGTAAGTATGTTTTTATAACGATTGCTTTTTTAGTCGTACTGCATTTTAACTATATTTTCAAAGCAGGGTTGGAGTTTGTTGGAGTCTGCTTGGTCGGGGAGCGACAGATGACTTGATGGTTTGCTTCACACTGCAGGTATGCAGCATTTTATTTACTTTAGAATCAATATCAGGCCAAAGCACCATGATCTGGCGAAGCCCAAAGGCTCAAAATAAATTTTGATTAAAAGCAAAGATGAAGACAAGAAATAAATAAAACAATAAAATCACAAGTAATAAAAACTTTTTAAACATTGAAATCACACACAGGATCAAAATAATAAATAGCCACAGTCCATTAAAAAGAGTAAATATAAAATCTTACAGGTGTAGAGATAAAATGCTTCAGGTGTATGTGTAATGTAGCCGAGTGATTGATAAAATAAAATATTTTACCATAAAACTATTAAAACCCTAAACAACAGTGAGAACAACTGGCCCAGCAAAAACAAGACAGTGAATACCAATGTAACGTGTAGGTTCGTGGTGATAGAAGGATGACTCTCAAGGTAATAGAACAGCAGGATGGAGCAGGATTCTTTTAAGCCAGCACACTTTTATTATCAACCCATTTTCAACTCTACCCTTCCTCTCTTACGTCACCGTCACATGACCCATTTTACCCAATCACTGCACTGCTCCAAACTAACAAAGATATAACTCATCAAAATAATATCACTCTTACATTACTCCCCCTCCCACAAAAGAAACGTCCCCGTTTCAGACAACAGGTTAAAAAAAAATCAAATATAACATAAAATCACTCAGTAACATAATCCCTGAGGTAAGCAGGTGGCCTAACAGTACGCCGGCTGGGCCGTGACAACGTACTCATATCGTCACACACAGGAGGAACATTGGGAGAACCCTGGGAGTCCGCAGGAACAAGGAGCAGAGGCTCGGGCTGGGGCGAGGCCACAGGTAAAGTTACCGGCGGAGTAACATCTCTGCACGTGTCACTATTACCCATGCCCTGAGAGAACGAATAAGGCAAAGCACCAGACAAAGCATTCAATGCAGGCAGCCCGGGCTGTGTAGGTACAGTCGGAACAGGGGCCCTGACATTGCTTTCTGGAACTGGAGCTCTGTAAGATCTGAGCCGATTATAGTGAACAATTTGGGAGCGACTCGAATCATCTAACAAATAACGAATCTTATAGGTCACACCTTGCGTCTGCTCTTCTAAACCACCTAGACACTCCTGAACCACAAATGGACCTTTCCAATGAGGAGCCAGTTTTTGCTTAGACTTTGTAGGATCATTTAACCACACGAGGGCGCCAGGCACATATGGAACATGTTTAACACGTTTATCATACTGCACTTTCTGTTTGTGTGAAGCATCATTCCTATTGTTCACTGCAGTGATGAAAGCGGTTTCAAGTTTCTGCGTTAACCTCTCTGCATACTCTGTAGGAGAGTTTCGTGCAGAAAGAGGCACGCTGTTGTCAAGTAACAGATTGGCGGGCATCCTCGCTTCAAAACCATGTATAAGAAAAAATGGAGTAAAGCCAGTAGTGGAGTGGGGAGTGGTATTATAGGCTAATGCTACTTGATTAAGACAGTCATCCCATTCACCTGACTGTTGTAGCAGAGTCTTAGCCAATTGGTCAATGAGAGTCCTGTTAAACCTCTCAATCATGCCATCACATTGTGGATGGTAAGCACTCGTGCGCGTTTTTTGTACGCCCATCATTTGACACAGGTCTTTAACTATATCTGACTCAAACTGTCTGCCTTGGTCGGTATGCAACACTTGGGGAATGCCATGTTCACATATATAGTTTTCAAATAAACACTTGGCAACTGTGACAGCTCGCTGGTCTAACATTGCATAAAGGTTGACATATTTAGAAAAATAGTCCTGTACCACCAGCACATACCTGTTGCCACGAGTAGTAATAGGGAGTTCAAGGATATCTGCAGCGACTTTCTGAAATGGCTCTGTGGCAACAATGGTTTTCATGGGAGCCCTCTGCTGAGGAACAGGGCTGCGTCTAGCATCACAAGGAACACATTTGTTACACATTTGTTTTATATCCCGCAACATAAAAGGCCAATAACAAAACTGCTGCGCACGTTTGACCACTTTGTCTGGGGACATGTGACCTGCTACTGGATTACCATGAAGCAATTCCAAAATTGTGTTCCGACATGCCTGCGGAACAACAATTTGATGCATGTCTGATTTTGTCACAGTATTATAGACCTTACGACAAAGAAGTCCCTCATTAAATGAGAGCCTGTTGAATTCATGCCACAGAGCCTTTTCTACCTGGGTGCGCTTTTTCATACACCAATAAGGCGGTTTGTGTCCCTTCCTTGTCCAGTTTATCACCTCAGACAAAACTGGATCCTGTTGTTGAGCCGTTTTGAGCTCCTCTGCCGGGAGCTGCAGCATGCTGGTGGAGGCAACAGTCTGTGAAACTCCTTGTATGTCCGAATAATGGGGCGGAGCCTCCACTGCTGAACTCACATGTGATAAGTCTGTATCAGTGAATGTACCTGTGACAGCCGGTTCTGCAGCTAGAGGGTCCTTTGGGCGGCGCGACAAAGCATCTGCATTCAAATGACAGTAGCCTTCTTTGTAAACCACTGTCCATTCAAACGGGTCAAGTTCAAGAGCCCAACGTGCGCGTCTCCCAGTCCTGAGACCCAATAGTGGTTTGTGATCCGTCACAATAACAAATGGCTGCTTGTAAAGATAATGCCGGAAATGACGTACTGCCCACACAATAGCCCAAAGTTCTCGGTCATATGTGGACCACTTCTTCTCCGCTTTCGTCAAGACATGACTGGCGTAAGCCACTACTTTTTCAGTCTGCTCTTGTTTCTGTCCCAGGACGGCGCCCACAGCAGTGCATGATGCATCTGTATAAAGGACAAATGGCAATGAAAAGTCAGGAAACGCAATGACTGGAGGCTTTGATAAAGCACTCTTCAAATAGACAAAGGCATCTTGGCAGTCTGTAGTCCATGCAAAAGGAGAATTCTTTGCAGTGAGGGCATGCAATGGTGCACTGTGGTGTGCAAAACTTTTTATAAACTTGCGATAGTACGAACAAAGACCAAGAAAAGCCCTCACCTCTGTCGCAGTCCGTGGGATAGGCCAGCTTTGCACACTGCTCACATTACGTGGGTCTGGGTGTACCCCCGCTCCCGATACCACATGGCCCAAAAAATTCACCTGCTTCTGGGCAAAACTGCATTTGGATGAATTCAATTTGAGTCCACTTGACTTGAACCTAGAGAAAACCTCTTCCAAGTGCTGGAGGTGCTCACTAAATGTGCGACTAAATATCAGAACATCGTCCAGATAGACAAGACACATCTTCCAAGGGAGTCCACGTAGCACCATCTCCATTAAACGTTGGCATGTGGCAGGAGCATTGGTGAGGCCCATGGGCATCACTTTAAAATGATAGAGCCCGCTGCCTGTTGTGAAAGCTGTCTTCTCACGGTCATGTTCCTCCAGCTCCACTTGCCAATAACCATGTTGTAAGTCCATTGTTGAAAACCAGGCAGAGCCTGATAGAGCGTCCAATGCATCGTCCACTCTGGGAAGTGGATGTGAGTCCTTTATTGTCACCGCATTTAGTTTGCGATAGTCCAAACAAAAGCGCCATGTCCCATTTTTTTTACGCACTAAAACAACTGGCGCTGCCCATGGACTAAAGCTCTCCTCAATAATGTCAGCTTTCAGAAGTTCATCGACCTGTGCTTGTATCTCCGCCCTCTGGTCAGGAGTCACTCTGTATGCTCTTTGTTTACTAGGCATAGCGTCACCTGTGCGAATATGGTGCCTTATCACCTCTGTGCGGCCCCTATCCTGGGAATTCAAACTGAACACCTCAGAATACTTCACTAAAAGATGATTTAATGCAGCGGTCTGGGAGTGTGATAGGTGTGTATTTGTTAACTGCACTAATGGTGACAAATCCCCATTGGCCAATGAGGACGCCTCATCAAGTGGTGCTATGTCAACAGAGGAAACTGAATGAAATTCACCCAGATGTTGGCCTGGATGTAGTTCAATATCCTCTCTAGAGGTGTTCAACACTCTAACCACAGTGGTGCCATGCTGGACAGTACTAACTGTGTGCGCCACAATGACATCAGTGTTTGTATTGGGCATCATTACACCACAATAGTCTGTCGGTACTGGCGAGGCAGGAGTAGCAGAAGATACACAAGCTGAAATTAATGTTTCACTCATAGCTGGTATTTTAGTGGGTACTAAGACTGACACATTACAGCATGCGGTCACTTCATGTTGTTTTGGTAATAGTGGGATTGTCATGTCCCAAAGCTGTAGTACTTTGTTTTTAATGTCCAGCAAGGCACGGTGTTGCACCAGAAAATCCCAGCCTAAGATAACTGGTTGATAAGCCCCTCTGAGCACTTCAAACTCATGTTGCCAAACTTTGTGTCCCATCCTAAGTCCTATCGTTAACTTGCCTAAAATGTCCAAACTCTGACCACTCACAGAGCGAGCAGGGACAGTGGAGAAAGTCATTGGTCGCTTCCTCAAAGCTGGGTGAGAATTACGAAACTCTTCACTAACAATGGAAACAAATGAACCTGAGTCAATTAAAGCACACACTTCAATGCCCTCCACAATAGCAAGAACTGTGGATGAAACCACTTTTGTGCTCTGGGGCGCGGACGTAGTAGCTGGCGTTTGCCCCTCAACATCAGCTAATGGAAGTTTCCCGACTGCGAGAGTGGTGCTTGTCGCTCAGGGGATTGAAACCTCACACTTTGTCTTGAACGTGGGCTGGGATCCCTACGTCCCCTCGCCGCTGGGCTGGGACTGCGAGGATAATCCGTACGCTCATATCTAGCACAGGTCCCTGATCTGGGGGAGGAGGGATAGTGGCCTTTCCAGTCAGTGTCCTGCTCCCTGTATCTCTGGTGTGCATTGGGGCTAGGACTGGATCTCCGGGAACTATCTCTGCCATAACGCTCAGGGGAGTAGTAGCCCCTCTGTCTGTAACGGTCCGCAAGAAGACCATGTTTCTCATGTAACTGGTGAACTTCCTGTCTGAGACCATCAACAGTGAGTGTTAGCTGTTCTACTGCTTGAAGGAGCTTATCCTCCGAGGGTCTGGGCCTGACCATTGCCACCTGGTCAGCAGACGTGACCCTGCATACGTGATCCGTAGAGTTTAACTGAAGAGCCACACGTGCCCTCTCACAGCGACTTGCTACACGCAGGGCCTCTTCAATGTCCTCTGCCCCCTGCTCATGTATTTTGGCCTGAAGTGACGGGTCCAAACCAGCCACAAAACGACGAAATTTCTCCCCCTCTATGGCATTGTGGTCATACCTCGGAAAAGCCTCCAACACCAATCGGGTTATATCTGCACTGTAAACATCCAAGCTCTCCCCGGGCTGACGAGGACGAGCATTTACATGAGTTTGGAAAAAGGGCAGGGAGTACTTTGGGCCAAAAACAACACCCAGCTTCACCTTGACCGTGTCATAATCCTTCTTTGTTGCTGAGGGTAAACTGTCCCAGAGCAAAAATGCAGCATCAGAAAGTCTAGTAGGTAGAATAGCAGATCTCATAGCAGAATAGTCCATATCCGGTGAACTCATAGCTTCAACGGCAACCTCAAAGCGACGAGCCCAACTGGAGAAAGATTCAGTGCCATCACCTTTGAATGGCGGCGGGAGGTCTATCTTCAGCGCTCCTGAGACCGCGCCTCGCGCCGACAACGTGGAGTCACTCAGAACCCCCGACAGCCGTACAGGGAGCCCTCGAGGAGGCGACGACTGCAGTTCATGCACTGTAACGTTGTCATCCATGGTGATAAGGGCACTTCACCAACCACACGCAAAAAAAAATTATATGACAAAAAGAGCCGTAGCAAAAATCCGTAGTAGCTCCAAAACCGCACTTTAGCAGCTAGCCGTTCACAGAGAGACAACAACCGGAGCTCAAAACTCACCGGACGTCCAAATCACCAAAATAACCAACACCGCTGCCACCAAATGTAACGTGTAGGTTCGTGGTGATAGAAGGATGACTCTCAAGGTAATAGAACAGCAGGATGGAGCAGGATTCTTTTAAGCCAGCACACTTTTATTATCAACCCATTTTCAACTCTACCCTTCCTCTCTTACGTCACCGTCACATGACCCATTTTACCCAATCACTGCACTGCTCCAAACTAACAAAGATATAACTCATCAAAATAATATCACTCTTACACCAATAAAAAATATTTAATTACAAATATTAAAATACAGATTAAGAATGTGCAACAATAAAATTAATAAACAAAAGGGAAATCCCCGTCAAGTCCCGGCGCGTCACGTCTTTGAACAGGCCCTTCTGATCGGGCTGCTCCTGAACACAAAATACAAACGGCAGAAAAACGGGCCGAAAGAAACACTAAAAGCAGAGCCTGGGTGGTCTAAAACTTACAGACAAGGCCTGCCTTTGCTGTGGTCCCGTGTGCCAATTGTCCGACTCCCGGGGTGCCCCGCTCGACCTCCGCTCCACAGTAGCCCCCTCCTGCGGGATAGACACAGCAGCAGTGTCCTGCCCTCACACCCGCGATCCCCACAACCCGAAAGGCTGTGTGAACACCACTACAAGTTGTAGATCAATACTCACAGTCAGAGGCAGAGTTTCCTCTGCCCCTGCGTGTAGTGGACCTCGTGGTGTTCTCTCCAAGGGATCGCGGGTTCTGCCGCTGTGCTCTCGGCTGGCTGTTTCTGGTCAGTCCTCCCCGTGTGCCGTGCGTCTCCGTCTGCGCGGTCCCGATCTCCCTTTTGCTGCGCTCCCCAGGTGATTATATTCACTGTGATTGCACCCGCAGGTGTCTTGGTCCATCCTCATCAGGGGTGGTGTGTGCGTTGTCGTAAGGGCAACCAATTAAACAGTCTAAAAGCATGCACTTGAAATCACAGCAAAACAATAAAACTCATAACACGCAATTGAAAACCATAATAGTAAAAACACTCAGCATGCATAAATATAACAAAACGCCCCCACTTGCGTCCCATCACATATGCACAGCTAAACAGAACTGTTTTTAAACCTGGATTTGAAAACTGCCAGAGTAGACGCCAGCCTCACAAAATGTCACTGGCCCCACCCACATACATGGGCACACGTCAGACCTTGTATTGTCACATGATGTCTAAGGAGAATATGTCTCTGTTGGGGATACAGCTTCTCTGACCACAGTCCTGTCATATTTAGCTTTAGATTGGAAAAAGTGACGCAGTCAGCTCCTGTGCGTAAAAGCCGGGTGATCAAGTCAGACACAGCTGCAACTTTTGCAGCTTCTTCTCAATGCAATCAGAAAGGATTCTGATTCTGATTCTCAAAGCATGACGACGGAGCAATTGATGGATGCTTTCCTGTCAACCTGCACTACTGTCTTTGACAATGACGCTCCTTTGAAGGCTATGCGCCCGAATCGCCCACAAGAGCCATGGGCTGCGCGGCAAGTGTGTAGTCAACCTGAGCGCAAATGGAAACATGACCACTTGGTGGTGTTTCATCAGATTTTGACAGACAGTTGGAGAAATTATCAATGTGTGGTCCAAACTGAAAAAAGCAAGTTCTTATCAGAATTTATTATGAGTAACGTAAGTCAGCCTCATGTTCTTTTTAAACTATCAGCCCATTTCCAAACACCCGAATGTGTCATAAGTTCTAGAAAAATGACTTTAGATACTTTTCAGTCAGGTTACAAAGCTTTTCAAATCACTGAGTCTGCACTTTTAGGGTGCAGACTTTAATAACGATTTAATAACTTTTGACACAGTGGATGCGATTCTTTTTATTAGACTTGACCACTGTGTGGGTGTCAGGGGGACCGCCCTTGCCTGGTTTGCATCTTCATA